TAACCGAAAGGTCAGCAGTTCAAGTCTACCAGTTACTCCGCGGGAGAAAGATGAGTCAGTCTGCTCCAGTAAAGATTTTACAGCCTCGGAAACCCTGTATAGGGTGATGGGGGTTGATGCCTGAAATTTATTTCGAGTGTATGATGTAAGCTATGATCTTTTTTTTTTTTTTTTCAGAAAATGGTTATATGGTGTGTCTTAAATAAATCTATCTTAAGACACAAAAAGAGAAGATTGAATAAGCAAGAAAATAGAAATGGAGGAAGATAGTTGCCGCTTTACATAAGATCTACAAGTAACCAAGAAGACGATGAAAAGAGACAAGGACCATGCCTCAGACCCATTAGAGAAGAAGCCTTCTTTTAGTGTTAGCTTTCTAAATTATGACTTCTAGTCTCCTAAACTGCAAGAAAATCAATTTGTTAAAGCCACTCAGTTGTAGTAGTTCTGTTATATAGCAGCACTAAATAACTAAGAAATACATCTAAAAAGACAAAAAAAAAAAAAAAAGGTAAGCCTCATTCCCTTAAAAGAGCCTGAAAGCTGACAAACTTCATATAATTTCTTCTCTATTGTTTTCCTTTTCATTTTGATTAGTAAGATAATTGAATTGAATCAGGTCTCCCCAACTCCTTCGTTTGGCTCATAAACTGGGTTAAAGAAATTATTATCAATTTTAAACAAACTGTTTTAGAGTCTGATAACGTGACTTCTGCAAGTCTAGCAAAACCCACTTGAGGTTGATGCAAACAGCACAGACAGACGTAAAGCAGCAGGATTTATTAAGCTATGTATAGTACACTTGTCACAAGAGGAGAAGTGAGCATCTCTCTCCATGAGTGAGACAGCCCTGGCTTTCTGTTCTTCTTTATAGAGTTTTTTTTTTTTTTAGCTTGTCTCTCTCAAGTTTAATTTTGATTGGTGGCAGGGTCTAGGTGGCACATACTCATTTGCACCTTTTCGGTGTTCTGTTGTTGTTAAATGCGATTGGTTGAGTCAGTTTCAACTCAAAGCGACCTTGTATAGAGTTTCCAAGGAACAACTGGTGGGATTGAACTGCCAACTTTGTGATTCGCAGTCCAGTGTAGATCCTACAGCGCCACACCAGGAATCCTCTCAAAAGTAGCTGGGCTCAGTTTCCTGGAATTGATGATTCGCGTGCCAGGTGTCGGGGTGCGGCTAGGCTGGTTGTTGTTCTTGTTGTTATTGTGAAGTGCCGTCGAGTCGGTTCCGACCCATAGCAACCCTGTATAGGGTTTCCGAGGAGCAGCTGGTGAGCTTGAACTGCTGACCTTGCAGTTCAAATGGCTTTGCAGTCTGGCGTATTAACCCAAGCACTTATTTGATGTTATTTAAATTAAAATCTAACATTAATTTCTTTAAGTCAAGATACTCAAAATAATTTTCATGGGAAATTATTTTTCCTTAATGACAAATGTGCAATGATATATACATCCAAATGAATAAAGGAACTCATTTCAAATAAAATGCAGCTGGAATTTTATGTCAATATAAGTATTTACAAAATGATTTCAAAAGCAGTGGAAAAGTGATTGAATAAACGGTACAGGGCTAATTCGTTAGCTATCTGAAAAAAAGAAAGAAAAAAGTAAGTTACACAATGTCCAAGTTGACTATGCTTTGTCTTGGTTTCAGTTTGTCCTATCTAGAATTCAAGGCCACGACCATTCCCAGGGATTTGAGAGAAAACTGTTAATCACCCCCAAGTTTTAGCTATAATTACTATTAGCTGTTACTAATCATTTTCAATTATTTTCTATTGCAGTTTTCATATGCCAAACCTGTTATCTTACAAACACTAGCAAACCTGTGAGTTGGTGTTATCAACATTGCTTTCTAGAAAGAAACTGAGATTCAGGGGAATAAAAAACTGCCCATAATGGAAGTGGCAAAAAGTTCATCACAATAGAACTCTCTGGTGAACCATAAACCGTAGTTTAACTAAATCATTGGCTTTGTTGTGTCTCAGAAAGCTATTTGGTTTCTGTGCCTGCAGAATTCCCAAGGTGGGCCCGGTAAAGCCAGAGAAAACAAGTCTTGTGCGTGAGGGGGCGGAGTTCGCCAAGAGAGAGCTGCACCTGCAGCTCGCTTAGGATTTTTGCGGACCGTGAAGTAAACACATTAAAAAATTCGAACACGTATTCAGTTGACACCTAGTAGACACGCCGCCGCAAAAACTCCCTCCAAGCCTATCTCGCGCCAGAAGAAGCTCCCGGGCCGTCAAAACCCTTCCCGGCATCCTCAGCGCCGGGCATAATTGACCCCTTCGGCCGCCGTCGGCCTAGAGTTGCTATGGAAACACAGCTGCCATCGCTATGTCCCTGCAACAAGCCCCTCCGTCGCGAGTGTTCGTGGAACTGGTTCCCTGGGCTGACCGGGGCCGAGAGAACTGCCTGATCTCGGGCGGAGAGACGCTGCCTGGCCCCCGCCGTCCCCTACCCTCAGCCCAGTCCCAAAGTACGGTCCGCGAAGTACATGTAAGTGGCACCGCGGAGGTATCTGCTGTTCCTGACCGGGCCCAGATAGCTATACGAGTGAGCAGCACCAAGGAGGCAGCGGCCGAGGCCAAGAAGAGTGTTTGTCGCCGCCTGGACTACATCTCGCAGAGCCTCCAGCAACAGGGCCTGCAGGTAAGGAACTTCGAACCGGACCGCACTAAGGGCGAGGCCTAGGGTAGTCCCTACGACCCCGGCGCGGAGCTGCGGGTGAGACGGCCTTGAGCATAGTGAACACTTTATAGCATCTATATTCCTGAGCGCCACGCACCTTTGACTTACACTTCTAGAAGCGAAAAATTATTCGCTGCAGTGAACGCGTGAAATAAAAGAAGGCAAATTGGGTGCGGTTTTTTTGGTATTTCAGGTGGTCTTGTTTTTATGCATGAAATATTACACTTGAAACATTAGATGTAAATGTAATGTGCTGAATTCTAAGCGTTTTTTTTTTTTTTTAATTGTTGTTTTTATTCTGCACCATGAAAAGTAGCCCTGGTAGCGTAGTGGGTTACAAGTTGAGTTGCTAACCGAAAGGTCAGCAGTTCAAGTCTACCAGTTACTCCGCGGGAGAAAGATGAGTCAGTCTGCTCCAGTAAAGATTTTACAGCCTCGGAAACCCAACTCAACGTCACACAACCACCATAGAATTAGAAAGTGAAAAGCTAGGCCTGCCTCCTTGAAACCATGAAGAGCTTTTCCTCTTGTGGTTATTTCTTCAGTCGTTGTATTTTGTTGACGTTGTTTTGAAGAGTCCACATTTGTTGTTATTGTACGTGCCATCCAGTAGATTCTGACTCATAGTGACCCTGTATAGGATTTCCAAAGAGTGGCTGGTGAGTTTGAACCACCGAGTTTGTGGCAGTGCTGATCCCACGACACCACACTAGGAGCCCACATTTGTTGTTGTTGTTGTTGTTGTTGTTAAGTGCCTTTGAGCTGGTATAGGGTTTCCGAGAAGCGGCAGGTGAGTTTGAACCGCCAACCTTGCAGTCCAGTGCGTTATCCTACAGCACCACAGAGTGGTGGTGGTGGGAAATAGCATTTGGTTTTGTTTTATAAAAATCTCAAAATAAAAGCTTAAGCTTTTTAGTTTTAACTTTTTTGTGTGTGTATCAGAATGTTACTTACATGAAGTGGCTCTGCCTGCTCATCAGGGATGTTTATGAGATAAATCACTAAATAAATCTTAAATTAAGGAAGTATTTTTTTTTAATATGAATTAACCTGAGTAACCCACACAAAGACAGGTTTTAAAACCCATTTACTATATTTATGAAAGGAGCTCTGGTAGCGTAGCGGTTATGAATCGGGCTGTGAACCGCAAGGTCAGCAGTTCGAAACTACCAGCTGTTCCACGGGAGAACGATGAGGCTTTCTGCTCCCGTAAAGATTTACAGCCTCGGAAACCCTGTATAGGGTCGCTATGAGTCGGAACCGACTCCACGGCACATAACCACCACCATACTTATGAAAGTAGTGGTCTAAACTCATGTATTTCAGAGGCCTAAATCTAGGTTACTTCTTGTGGCTCCTTTGCAATGTATAGGAACTTATAGGTGGAATCCTGAGTCCCATCAAGAACCTTCTTGAGGTGAGACGTTCCCACTGGAAAGGACATGCAGACCCGCCAGGAACAGCTAGAATGACAGAAGATACATCCTCAAAGAAAAATCATCAGAAAAAATCCTGATGATTTTTCTTGGCTACTACAAGAATAAGCAAGTTGTTCTCCAGGAAGCCATCAAGGCAAGCAGTCAAGTCCCTTTAGGACAACCCCCCTCTAAGACTGACACTCAAAGGGAAAACATGAGCAGACATGTAAGCTTGCTGACAACCACATTGGTCTACTGGTGAGTGGAAGAGGAGGAAAGGCAGCAATGAAGAAATGGACTGAGTTCAACCACGTTCCATAGACTCCCATTGACCTGGAGATGAGAGAGAGAAGAGGAAGGGCTGGTTGGTTGGTCCAGAGTGTGGTGAGACCTGGGCATACCTGAGCCCATGGACAAGGACATAGCCACAGAGGGCTAGAGCTGAGAGTGAAGCATCCAGCTGATACAAAGTGAGGGGAGATGCACAAGAACACCCAGACTTGCAGTGTTCTTGACCTAGCCTCGATGGCTTGATAAACAGAACTAGACTAGAGGAAGATTGAAAAAAAAAAATTTTTTTTTTTATAAAGGAAACGCAGGTAATTTGCTACAATTTGATGAACTTGACCTATACTCCTGAATGTAGTAGCTGTAAGTACAAAGAGAGAGGGAAGGAGTCTTCACATCAAGTATCAATGCTATCCCCTCTATACACAGAATAGATTGGGATGGGCAATTTAGACATTGGCTACCTAAAATGAGGGGGCTATAAAGGCACGAAGTGACTGGCTTACAATTTTTCAAAAGGAAGTGTGTGGGGGAAGATAGAATCCCCACTGAATAGTTTTCATCTTTTCTAGATGGGGATAAAATTCTTATGATTCCATAGTGAGTAATTTTTATCATGACTAACTGCAACTGTCACAATTGTAAAGGTAGAAGTTTTGTAACAAAAACAGGGGAGTAGTTAATCTTACAGTCCGGAAACAAAGGACCCTAGAACCATCAGGGAGAAGAGCACAAGTGGAATGTGAGACCTTGTCCACAGAAGCAATGACACCAGAGATGGAGGCAGAGATGGGACCATGCGAGAGGGAGCAGCTGAGGACTCTAGATTCATGGGCAGAGAGGGACTAAGAGCAGGCGGCCAGGAGGCAGACTTGCAGAATGTGCCGTTTGCTGGTGTAAATTATTATATATGCCTGAGTGTTTAAAAAAAAAAGAAAAGAACTAAAATGAACAAAGAGGAATAACTGTTAACTGGTGGTACTTGGAGAGCATTATAATCATTGTAATGAAACAAGGTATATGATTTGTTGAATGTAAAATTGATGATCTGCCCTGTAAACTTTCACTCAACTCACAATAAAAACTTAAAAAAAAAAAAATCTGGCTTACTTCATAATAATGTTGTTGTTAAGTGCCGTCGAGTCGATTCTGACCCATAGCGACCCTGTCTAGGGTTTCCAAGGAGAAGCTGGTGAGCTTGAACCGCCGACCTTGTGGTTCAAACCAACTTTGCAGTACAGCGCATTAATCCTGAATGCTGTCCAGTTGGTTCCTACTCATAGCGGCCTTGTACAGGGTTTCTGAGGAGCAGCTTGTGGGTTTGAAACTGGTTAACTGTCCAGTGCTTATCCTACAGCGCTACCAAGAACTCCTACTATAATAGGCTCCAGATGATTACAATGAGAAAATTAGAAATTATTTCTTCCTTTTATAGAATAGGTCCCTGTAAACCAGTGTATCAGGGTATCAATGAGTTTATTAAAGTGTGGATATTTTCACTTAATGCTCTATTGCTAGAAATATGACACTCAGAAGAAGCAAAACTTTGCTGCAAATTGTAGCCGTGAATGTGGTGGAGTATGTAGGGGGCAAAATTATGAAAATTCTTAGACATAAATATCTTGAGGGAATGAGTTGCTCAACCTGGGAATTTAGCATCATAGTTTTGGGAGACACCAAGGTCAATTGGTATAAAATAGTCCCTAAAGGCAGTGTTCTACATCCTACTTTGGCTAGTAGTGACTGGGCTCTTAAAAGCTTGTGAGTGGCCATCTAAGGTGTAACTATTGATTTCTCCCCATCAATTGGAAAGAAGAGTTACAAGTATCAAAGACACATGGGAACAATCCAGTGTGCAAATGGACCATGCGAGCCTCAGTCTCCATGATCCTGAGACCAGAAGAACTAGTGCCCACCTACCAATACCAACTGCTCTAGAGCCCATTAGAATGCCCTAGATTGAATAGGAGGAAAATGTGGGACAAAATTCAAAATCATAAAAACAGCCAGGTGTACTAGTTGGCTAGAGACTGATGAATCCACCAAGACTGTGGCCCTTAGTTGCCATTCAGATCTGGAACTACTCACTGCTATGGCTCAATTTTCAGCCAAACAATAGATACATCCACAAGGGAAACAATAACACTGGAGAATTATGCATATCATAGAATAATCAATTGTTGGAGATCAAAAAGGTTACATTTACTCAAGGGCAAAGTTCAGAAGTATTAGGAAACGAGAAGTGGAAACAAAACACAGGAAGTAGGATAAATATTGTTACACTGATGGAATTGCAATCATTGAGATGAAACAAAATGTGTATGAATTGTTGAATGGAAAACAAAATATTTGCGCTGTAAACCTTCACCCAATTCACAATAGAAAATTTAAAAACACCCAAAATTCCTGCCAGTGTTTCAGTCATGTTTTGAGTAGTATAAGTACTTCTTAAGGAGTCCTGGTGGGGGTTGGTGGTTTGAACCACCAACCAGTCTGCTTCTGAATGATTTACAGCCTCAGAAACCCTGTGGAGCAGTTCTGTTCTATCCTATAGAGTTGAAATTGACATGACGACAGTAGGTTTACTTTTTTGGTTTTTAAGCTTTGTAGGATTAGTACAGGACTGCTAATCGCAAGGTTAGCAATTCAAACCCACCAGTCACTCCTTGGAAACCCTATGCAGAGTTAATATGAGTTGGGCTAGACTCCACACTAAATAGCAACAATGTATAAAATGTATACTGAGATCACATGGCTCTAACTTCAAATGTGTAAGGCAAAGTAAATGACTAACTCCAGCCTTCTGTAATTGCATTAAAGTTCTATATTCATGACATCATGGCAGCACATAGGAAAGACTGTAATATCGTTGCTAATGGAGAAAAGTAGTCATGTAGATAATCTGTTCAGTTGTTGTTTTTGTTAAAAAGTGCCATCCAGTTGGTTCTGACTCATAGTGACCCATATAGGGTTTCCAAGGAGCGGCTGGCGCGTTTGAGCCACCAGCCTTGCAGTTCAAACAGACCTTGAGGTTGGGTGCTTATCCTCGATGGCACCACACCAGGAGATTACATAAAATAGCATTTATAAATCTGTTCAGGATAAATTATAATGGTTTTCCACAAAGTCCTTATTTCAGAGTCATGGATTATCAGGTTTACTCCATCTTTCCCCTTCTTAAAGTCTCCTTGTTCCCTTCAGGCTAAAGTCCAGTCTCCTCTGCTTAACTGTTGTTGTTGTTGTTATGTGCCATCG